AGCTATATAACTGGTCAATCGCGATATGTATTGAGTACTAGTATTTGTGTGTTTTGTGTGTGTTTCTGTGTGTGATTTTGACTAAATTTATTCCGAACGGCGCTCAAAATAATTTGACACTTTGTTATTTGCGAACGCAACTCACACTATGACCCTTACTCAATTTGCATAAGTAATACGAATGCTGTAGTTCAGAAAATCTATTGGTTAACTTTTGCTCGTGTCTGGGTGCGCAAATCTCCACCAAAAATAGAATGGTTTTATTTCGCATTAGTTGTGTCTGTGTCAGTGTCGTATTTGATTTCACATGTTTGGTTCGATCTTGTTTATAGTGGACATTATTTTTGTATGTATTATTACCAATTTTATATGGCCGTGTGATCCACCGCATTTTTTCAACGGTCGTTCTATAAATTTTTGATTGTATTTATTCTTATTTTAACATCATAAAAACAAAAATGATACACTTGTACATGAAACAGTAGGTAATGAACTGTAAATGCCGGCGGTTGCGCTGTCAGGCGAGCGAGTGAGCGAGCGATTGCGCGAGCGGATACTTCCGGATTTGAGCGGTCGAGAAAAAAAAGCAGAAATTGCGCGGTCGAATTGAACAAAGCGAGCGAAAAAAAAGCCATCGAAATCCGGAAGCGGGCGGGAGGTTGGGCGAAATGAGTACTGTATGTGTAAATCCAGTTGGTGAAAAAGCATTAATTTTATTTTTGTTTCAAGAACTGCACAAAAGCCTGTAATGTGATTTTATTATCATTGAATGAAAAGTTTTATGAAATTAAACAGTTTGGAAGAGTTTAGTGGTGCATTCTGGATAACAGATCAAACAATGGCGCTACGCCTACATCTTGTGAAATAGCTTGGACGTTCAAAAGTTGCCATCTGACCAAGAATTCTGTCTGAATTTAACCATAGAGCTGTAATCCCCAATGGGAAAAGTTTATATATAAACTAAAAAATAATCTGCATGGTAGGTGAGTTACTGTAACAATTGTATGGCTACAGTTGTTTTTCAGAACAGACATTGAAGTACCGGTAACGCTAGTGTTAGGTGGAAATATTAAAGATTTTTTTAGAGATGCATTGAAGTCTAACAATTAACATGACGTGTGACTTCAATTTAACTACATGTACAACTGTACATGCAAATCTGTTTGCCTGAATTTCGTACCCATTCTAGTGGTTAATTTGGGGGAATTTTAACATGCAGTTTGCCAATGAGAATTTATTTCTGATCTGCCAAGATCTTATGGATAGCATTGGGTTGTCTTCTTATCATACAAGTCACACTGGTCTTGAGTTCAACAATGTAATAATGACCAAGCTAAATGGCTCTGAGTGACCAATAATTTTTTCCTCTTTTTAAAAACTGGAACTACCCATGCAAGCCATCAATACAATACTGCAGTTCTGGAGTTGACCTAAAGTTGTGTGTGTACATGACCATTTTATGTTTAGACACCAAACTGAAAACAGGGTTTTACCATCAACCTCTATAGACCATTGACTTTCACAAGTACAAGTATCTGTGCCAACCTACAACATCAATTTCTTCTTAAAATATACAAGTTTGTCACCTTGCCTCCTCACCTCACCAAATAATTAAGCAAGAAGCCTGTCGGCTGAGATACCTCCGCTGTTAGCAATGCACATTGCAATTAAAGAACAGAAGATATCATTAGAAAATGAACAATATGTATGTATAGTATCAAAGCAACAGGACTTACTGTTTTCAACAACATGTGGACCTCTCTCAGATTTGTTCATTTTGTAATGATATCTTCAATTCTCTAATTTTGGTGAATATTTTGTAATTTTTGGTAAAAATTGATATTTTCGACTTCTTGTTAAAAACCGCAAGTCCAATTGCTTTGATATTACATGTGGACCTCTCTCAGATTTGTTCATTTTGTGATGATATCTCTTATTCTCTAATTTTAGTGAATATTTTTTTAATTTTTGGTAAAAAGTGATATTTTTGACTTTTTGTTGAAAACCGCAAGTCTGATTGCTTTTATATTACTTATATAGGTACTACATGTGGACCTCTTTCAGAGTTGTTAATTGCATGGTGATATCTAATAAGTCGACAGCGGAGCTAAAAATCTAGTTTCAGCTTCATTCGATTTTAAATAAAAGCTGGCATTGGATCATTTTTTTAAGGTGGATCTTTCCCACCACCAAAATGGAGCATCATCCCGCAATTCAGTTCATTTCATGCAACCATCACACAGCAATGGTGTAAACAGCATCACTACTAGCAAAATAGACAAACCATTGAAATAGCACGTTATCTTACCATTATGTTCATCTAGTTCATCTCCGATATGCTGACCCATTTGTTTCTGTCTGGATATGACCTGCGATAGAGCCTCCAATCCTTGATCCTGTTCTAAATTAAAAAACAAAAAATGAAATGAAACAGAACTTATTATATGCTTTAAGACCAGTGTTTAGAATGGACTCTAAACAATGGAGGTTGGGTTCATTCAAGTGTAGCTCATACCTAGTTATGGAAAGCCACCCATTTATGACCATCCTTACAGACATGTGTGTGATCATGTTAGAAAAAGCTGTAATTGAGCTCAGTCAAATTAAATGAATTGATTCGGCATGCCAAGGAGCTGGATCCATCTATCATATATAGATTTTGACTTGTCACAGTTTAAGTGACTAAAACATGCGCCTTTGCGTTCATTGTTCCATGGAAACGCAACTCAACACTTGACTCTATTCCATTTACCATGGAAATGCATCAGGTGAATACAGGTTTATAGTGTAAATTCTGCTGAGGTATAATGGTATATAAGGTATATAAGCTTACTTAATACAAAAGCCCTCTAAATTGAACAATTCCTAGTGTGTTAATGTTAGACAGGTTTTTTGTTTGATGAATTGATTCTGTACCTTGGATTATCTGTTGCTGTTGACTTCTAATGTCAGTTACTGTCATTGTCCTTGTGTCCTCTGGTTCTTCCTGGTCAAATGGGTTGAAGGAAGTACCTCTAGGTCCTTGGTGCAATAAACTGGTTCTAGTGGAGGATACACTATAGTGGCATTAATTCGCACTGCTTACTCTCATGTTATTGAAAATAGCGATGATTACGAGATATTGATAAGAACTGACATAATCAATTGAAGACAAAATGCATAAACAATCAAGACATTTTTAAACCTCAACTACATTTATTTTTAAACCTCAACTGCAATTACTTTGTTGTGAGTCTCAAGGAAGGTCAGTGTACAAGTACATATTGTGGGAATAAAGATATAAGTATTCTAATGTGACAACTGTTATAAATATATCTGTCTCTATTTTATTCTTTGTTGACTCATGTATTTGTCATAATCAAATGTCTTCACAAGTTATCATTCACATGATGTACCCGGTAATGCATTTCAAATTCGACCATTTTGATCATGAATGTATAGTGGAATTCTGATGACGAGACTGTATAGGCAATGGTTTTCTTATTTTGTAGTATAGTTCATTGAATTTTGTAACAGCATCATTTATGGAGAGTTCAGAATCAATGGAATTCAGAAAATAGATTGATTTTTTTTTGCTTCAAATTTAGTTACATTAACACAACATTTTTTAAAAACAATATATTGAGCTCTGGGTTTGTACATTATAGTGACCTGTTCATTAAGAGTGACAGTGAACTCTAGTAGGAAGTGTGATCATAAATTATTTGATTACTGTTAAATAATTTTTGCTATTTTCGCTGAAGGAATGATTCAGTGAAAATAAAATTCATTGAATATACCTTTTTTACTATGTTTTACCTTCAACTCATTAAAAATTAGTGAAAATAAACTCAAAACATACAAAACACAAGAAAATTTTTTTTCGGCTAAAATAAAGTCGCTCACAGTACCATCTTCAAAATTTATTACATAACCAAAGACACTAGGAAATACATGTATTAAACAACGACTGTCATGTTAGTAGAAGACAGTTGGTTGTTAGAAAAAGAAATGCTACAAATACATACCTTCCAGCATTTCCATGGGAATCATTTAAAAAAGCATCATTCAACTGTTTCTCTTTTGATATAAGGTTGTCTAGCATATCTTGCCTTCTGTCAAACTCTCTCTGTGTTCTATATATTCTATATTAAAGAAATTCTCAATGGAAGACAAAAGTGATGTGTGATGTGAAACGTCATACAATGTGCTGCCTCATTCATAGCAATAATCATAAACATCATTCTCAAACTATCTCATCACACCTTATGAATCCATGGCAACCAATGAAGAATGGCAATGCATACAGTCGATCGAGTTTGCCATGCATTCTGACAGTGTTTTATTGGGAACATCTCAAAAACCTGAAAAAGTTGCAGCTATCTAATGTTTGTATTAATTGTGTGGTTCTACTTCTTTTTACTTGTAGTAGCTATTAGAACTGTTGACACAATGAATGCCCCTTCCTCCACTACAAAAAGAATCTCATGGCAACAAATGAAAGTAAGCTGACTTCAACAGTTCACCAATAAACTAGTTACTTCGTCCACACATTAGTTCTATGGTATATGCTGGGCCGCATGGAAATATAATTTGAGGGAGAAATGCTCCCAGTATTAGTTTTGAATCTAAATGACAAACTTAATGTGAAATCTAAAGGTTCTTTCTCACTTGATGAAACTGATCAGAAATTCATTTGTGTGTAATGCACACAAGGGGCAGAGTTTGCCATGTGTTCAGACGAGAGTTTGCCATGCGACAGACTTAGGGTGCATTCACAGTACAAATCTCAGACATGTGTATGAAATGAAACTAGTGCAAACCAAAGCCAATGGGTTTTTGTTTCCTGGATGAGTGTGAAACCATATGAGCTGTTACTATGCCAGAGATAAACTAGTGTTTTATAAATATTATTTATATTCCTTACAATTGAAGAGCCATACCGTACTATCATTTAATGATCCAGCATACAATAAAAGCAATTTTGGATTTACTAGTACTCCCATTAGAGATGTGTTTTTAATTAAAAACAAATATGGTACAGTGAATGGTTGAAACCTGGGAATGCAATAAACATCTCAGAATTTCCTTTTAGGATTGTAACATCTAGCAATTAAGAAATGGTGTATTAATGTTATGATCACAATCAAAACAGCAGTTTCCGTGAGCTACCATGTCCTTCAAAGAGCGCCGCCGATGTCACTAAATAGCTTTTAATGAAGGCACCCAGAAACGACCTTTTTCTGTTCGAATACAAACATGTTCAACTAGTCAAGTAGAAAGAGTAGCTGCCAAACTTTTAATTAGAAAAGAAATTGGTTCAAAGTACTGAGAGCCGAGATTCCTGTCCTGTTAAAGATTTCTAATTTGATTTAGTGCCAGTGTGTCCAAGTCAATGCAAGCAATCTTGATAAATTGCTTAGACTTGATGTAATTCCATTGTTGCTATAATTATAGCTACTGGGTTATGTATATTTTTAGAATGGTGTTTTATTTCCGAAATAGTGTACTGCCAATCCAGTGTTTTATCAAAGTTGCGCAGTCATGATGTTATGAATTACGGCTTTAAATAGTTCCATTGTTACTATAGTTATAGCTGTGAATATTTGTAGAATGCAAACGTAATGAGATTTTACTTTAGAAACTGTGTACCACAGATCCAGCATTTTATCAAAGTTGCATAGTCACGATATTAATAGGTCAGCAGAAACCATGCTACAATGTCCTAAAAATGTACAAACAAACAAGCTTGATTTTCTTTCTTTACGTTTAAGTTGTCCTATTTTTATATTTTTATTGATGTCTTATAATGCAATTGGATTGCAAAGATTACTTAATAAGTTGAAATCATATTGTGATAATTATCATTTGAGAGTTAATTTAACCAAAACCAATGTAATAGTTTGTAGAAATGGAGGACCGTTACGAAGATACGAGCAGTGGCGATACGATGGGAAAATAATTGAAGTAGTGCCGTATTACGTTTATTTGGGTATAAAATTCTCACTACGTGGTTCTTGGTCATTATGCCAACAACATCTAGCAGATCAGGCAACAAAAGCGCTCCCTGCACTAATGGTTATTATATGTAAAATTGGACCAGTGCCTATTTCTCTATGTTTTAAAATATTTGATACAAAAATTGTTCCAATAATGCAATACGGTAGCGAGATTTGGGGTCATTTTGAGTCTCCAGCTGTTGAAAATGTACACATCAAATTTTGTAAATTTTTGCTTCACATTCGTAATACACCTGTTTTTTAATTCACGCAACAGTAAGAGGGGAATTTGGTCGTCCCACTATGTATTCTCTTCGTTTAGGTAGAATGGTGAAATACTGGCTGAAAATA